GGGACAATACTGCAAAAAGAAATGGGTAGTCAACAAAAGCTTTTTCAATTTATGTCTTTGCCTCTATTGCAGAATTAACTTACTCATTTGTCAAAAATTCAAATAGCTGGGTTTCACCCCAGGCCCAGTGAATTGGAACTCTCTGGATATGGGTCCTGGAACTGGCAATTTAAAAGTTTCCTAGGGCATTATTTTCACTAAGTATTTTTATCTCAGTGCCTTTAACAAATCAGCTTTCAAAATGGTACTTTCCAGGAACATGCAATCTCACTCCACACATTAGATGTATTCTTGAAAAGTTTAGAGAGTACTTGCAGAGAAAAGCATTATTCTCCTAAAGACTACCATGATTAATTTCAGAATTATGTTCATCCCAAAGGAAACAAGTTTCTTGTAGCATTCAGCCTTTAAACAAACATTATTTATCCATCTAATTCTTCTGTTATTGCTTATGCAAGTGGTTGGCCAAATGAGCATACAGTCATGATCTTTATTCAGTTTAAAAGTGAAAAGGGGCAGAAAGGGATACCTGCAATAATGTCAACATTAAAAAAAGTTTAATTAAAAAAAATTCAACATGCTGTTAACACATTTCATTTTGATTCTGAACTGATCTCATTGGACTAAACAGGTTAAGTACCACAGTCAAGTGACATTTAGCAGAACTCACAGGCAGGAAGTGCCATAGGGAGATGGTTTTCAGATAATACAAAAACTGAAGTTTGTCATTTGGACTTTAACAGCAAAAATATGCCTTTATGTGGTGAGTTTTGTTAACAAATCTATTTGTCAATTTATTACCAATCAATAATCAAGAAGTATGAGATGTGAATCTATCCTACCCCAAGATGGGAAACATCGCTAACAACGACTAAAGTAGCTAACATTTATTCACTTACATCATAGCAGGCCCTGTTCTAAATCCTTTACATGGATTAACTCATCTCATCTTCATAACAATCCAGTGAAGTAAGTACCATTTTAGACCTCATTTCCCAGATGATGAAGCTGAGGTTCAGGGAGCTGTGTAATTTCCCTGAGGTCCCACAGCTGGAAATAGGAATCGAAATTCGAATCCAGGCAGCCTGTCTCTAGAGTCTGTACTCAAAGGCAATGTGCTTCACTGTGGTTATAAGAAATTCTCAAATGTTGAAGTAGTTAGTTGCCACTGTAGAAAGACTTTCTGTTTATAATCTGGGATCCCCCCCCCCCGTTCTTTAT